CTTGTGGTCCGCAACCGCAAAGCATTTTTCTTTGTTCATCGCATTAATCTTTATCAACTTCTGCAACCTAGTCAAACCAAAACTTGATAGTTGATATATATATATATATATATGTACGTATATATATGTATATATGTATATGCAATGATCATTTATAAATGGCAAACCAACTTCATGCATGACACAGGACCAGTACTCCATACTTGATCGATCGACCTTCATGCCCAACGAGACAGTCGTACATGATGGAAAAAGATGTTATTAGTGCTTCCTCAAATGGGGACCTATTTCCCAATTACCAAGACAGATCATATAAGTAGCCTGAATATATGGAGATAATGATTAATTGAAGTATATCTTTTAATATATTCACCCATGGCTAATTAAAACACCATCAAAATTACTCATTTATTATGGATACAAATATAAATGTGTAACAATTTATGGATGATGCTCATCTTTTTTGAACACCAATTGGGATTTGTTAACATACACCCCTATCGATATCGTCTAAAATGTTAAGAGACTATATATCTCCTTATATTTTTGCTTCTAATAGTCACTTTAATTCAATGCTCCCTTTTGTTCCATGTCTTACGTTCAATGTGAACCTTCGTTCGTAATCTAGGATGCACTTAAACTCGAAGTATAGCCAAGACAGCCTCTTTTGAAGTCTCGTTCTTAGTTCAGAAAAACAAAAGCGAATCATGGGCGTAATTGGACTCACTTAGCAGGCATCTAAAGACAGATGATAACATAGAATATGATCAGGTGGAATGGGCATGGATCTGTAGGCACTTCATATTTTTAAAATTTTGTGGTTTTCTTGTCTTTATGACAAAGTACCATGTTGCTTGGCATGGCTTCATAAGCATGGAGACGTTTTCATACCAGCTGTTGTTTTTGTTTTATTTTATTTTCTAGGAAAGCCATTGAGTAACTTGACAGTTTTTCTTCGTACTTTATCTCTTTTATTTATCATATAATAAATAACCTTATTGACCATTAATATATTAATTAACAGCTAGTCCCAATCATCATGCAACATCCTGGATTTGCATAACTAAATCTTCATGAATCTGACCATTGTTATAGCTTTATTTGGGTTCTTCCTTAACATCTACATGCCAAGATCTTGAATTGCACTATAAGAAAAAGATATAGAATACTTACAACGAACCAAAATCTATGGGTTCTGTTTTTTTATCCTCACATCACGATCGGTAATCAAAACCTGTATCTCTGTAGTAACATATCTTTATATGGGCTTTTAGAAAGAGATTCAAAGTGGTTCTACATATTTCGTAACATGGTATCAAACCCGTGGTCTACGAACCCTTCTGTTTAAGAGGGTGTGTTGGAGTTCCACATTGGCTACACATGAACAATAATCAAATAAGAAAACAAGAAAACGCCCAAATCACTTGTGATTTTAAATTAGAGTCACGTGTAAAATCATATGTGATTCATGGAGCTAGGTCGCTCGCTCGTTCACATTGCGTTGACCGTGTTCTTAACATATGATTTGGCTGTTGATTGTTCTTTTATTTTGACCATGTGTTCTTGTTCGATTTTCTGCCTTCTCTCTCTATATATTATAAATAGTAAAATAATTTTGTTACAGCCTAAATTAAATAAAATGTTGCAACTTTTATAAGATATAATAGAATGAATAATAATTAATCTCACAGTCCTTCTAATGGATGACGTTTCCTACTATGGTTTCGAGCATTTCCCTTAGACCACTATATGTTAAAGATGGCTATATTTTGTAGCCTATATTTTGTAGCCTATATTTTGTAGACTTCTATGCAACAAACGATTTAGGTGAATAACTAAAGTAGAAAGGCTACAACAAACAAGTGGATGAATAACAATAAATATATATATATATTTTCGTTTCTTTTGCTTAATTGCATGCTGAATTAGGTTTAGACAGGTGCGAGCCACGATGGTCCAACCTGAAGATGAATGGTCGATCACTTGGTCCCTCTTCACCACATAGCATTGGGGTTGAAGAGGGGGTCCCAATTGTCTTAAAGAGGTCTAATAACACATGTTGTGTCAAGTCATTCGAGTCTCATACTTGATGAGAAGAGATAAAAAGCAAAGGGCTCCATGGAAATATGTAATCCCTATCACGGTACTTCTCCTAGGTTCCTTAATAGTAATAATAATATAATGTGTTCCTTCTGTACGTACCCCTTTTTACCATTGTCGTCAAATCATTTTTCAATAACAGTCGATGATCATAATACATGGTGCCATAAATTTCGTTCGAGTTGATTTTCATGTGGACTTTACTGTACATAGGTACTTGTAATGCCAAGCCCTATTTACTAATCGACTGAGGATAGAGCGTACGTTATATGCTCAATCTTTTAACGATCAGTCTTGCCTCATTCCTCAAGCGTTATGTTTAGAGCTTGTTAAGAATAGTCTAATTAAAGGTTGTGGGATCGGTTAGGATTGTCGGTAATCAACTTTTTGTCTAAATAATTAATTAGTTAAAGGTAGTTTTCCATTCTAGTTTAAGTCATCTTCAAATATGATTTGCAATGCATTGAATATCCCAATTACTAATTTGATTATATATCATAATTGGAATACTTTGATGTCAACTCATAATAAATAAGATAACAATTAATGGACAAAAAATGAGTCTGAAGAACTTAAAACAAAACAGCAGTTAAGGGTTAGCGTGAATGATAAATAAAAAAAGATTGTTATATTATATTATATATATATATATATATATATATATATATATAGTGTGGTTAACATCACTCATTTTCAATTATACACATGATTGTAAAGGGATAAAAACATTAGCTGCCGACAGTTAATTTGCTTAGGAAGTGGTTTACCTCAAAACATAGACATGCTTTAATATGTTACCGTCTTTTATTCACGTAATCTCCAACTACTCCCATAAAGACAACTGTATGTTTCTACAAGTTTTGCACCGTATTCAAAAAGAGTACTTGGATATATACATATATATACTCTCTTTCTCTCTCATCTACACGTGTGCAGACATTGAAAAAACACAGAAGAGAGAGAGAGGGGGGGGGGGGGGGGGGGGAAGGTGATGGCTTCTTGAAGTGGCAATGGTGATGATGAAAGTGATGTTTGTGGGGTGTGCCTCTAGAGAGAGAATGTAGAGAGAGATATGGGTCTTGTTAATTGATAGGTAGAGTAGAAAACGGATTGGAGGGGGACCTCTTTAGGCCCATAGAAAGAGAAAGAGAAGATGATCATTATGTGAAGTGGAAGCAAAATGGTTTGTATCAATTCTCATACACATATGATGATTACCTTGTGAGTGAAGAAAAATGCATCGAAAAAGACAAGTTTGAGTTAAAGACAAGAAGACCAACCATCTCTCTCTCTCTCTCTCTCTCTCTCTCTCGTAGCATATATGTACTCTCTGATCTCAAACAAAACCCAGTCTCCCAACAAGGAAACCCAACTCCAATCTTTTGTTGTCTTCAAGATTAAAAATTACCCATCTTTGCAATGAGAAAGCCAGACCAAATCGGGAGAGAAAAGGTGTGTAATGATACTAATAGCAATAAGGGAATGTTGAAGCTTAGAAAGGGGTTATGGTCACCTGAAGAAGATGAGAAGTTGATGAATTACATGATAAGGAATGGTCAAGGGTGTTGGACGGATATTGCCAGGAACGCCGGCTTGCAACGCTGTGGAAAGAGTTGCCGTCTTCGCTGGATCAATTACTTGAGACCTGATCTCAAGCGTGGTGCGTTTTCGCCTCAAGAAGAGCAGCTCATTGTTCATTTGCATTCGCTTCTAGGCAACAGGTTTGTCTCACCTCTCTCTTGGTCGTCTCTAGACTTGCTTTTGTGTTAAGTAACAACTAATGCCGTGGACTGGAAACATATATAATGCCATAGGGGTTCACACAGATTCACAAATATGTCAAGCACAACTGATCTCTTTGACAACCAAAAACGGTCGTAATTCGGGACCCAAAATGGCGTTAAAAAGGGTTCATATCTATGTTTTCCAACACAATGCAACGGGTAGAACTTACTCTATCCTATAGTTATACCATCAGTCTTTAGGTTTTGATTAAATGAAACGGGGTTTTGTATTGAAAATATGCGGGGTTTACTGAAATTTATCATGCTCCTGCATTTTTATTAAGAACCTCTTTTTTTTTCTTTCTAACGGCCAGGTTATCAGAGTATTCAAATATGGAGATCATTCATTATCTGCCATTTCTAACAGCAAATTACAACTATCTGGTTACGGCATAATGACACTACAAAAGAATTGATTGATAGAATGTTTAAAATGTAGAAGAAGCATCTTATAAAATATTTTATAAAACTTAAATGTATAAAACCAAACTAAAAAGCGTCAAATGTCCTATTTAAATGTGTTACAATAGGTTTATAGGACGTTTTTAAATGTTTTAACAAGTTTTTAAGAACATTTTTTAAAATAAAGTGTCGTATTAACTATTTTAAACGACACTATTTGAAAATGTGCCCTATAAACACAAGTGTTTTATAAAAAATGTATGTGTAAGACACTTTTCAAAAGTGTCATATTAAAATAGTTAATAAGATATTTTATTTCAAAAGTGTTCTAAATAAACTTGTTAAAAACGTTTTATAAACCTATTGCAAAGTTTTTATACATGACGTCTAAACCTAAATTCTATAAGTGATGTGATTAAGATGTTTAAACAATCTAAAAGTCTTCAATTTTATCGTAGCATGAGTTCTTATTAATATTATTAATGTAAATTGAATAAATACAACGAGTGTACAAAGACTTTCAACCCTAAATACAAATAATTACATATTTTATTTTACAAAAGATCCATCGAAAAACTCGTATTATATAAACTTGCATTTTATTTTAGTGATATTAATTTTTTTTAATTTTGATGTATGACAAATATTAAAACATGTTTTTTTGAAAAACTTTATTCGTCTCATTTAATTATAACACACTTAATTTAATTTTATATAATTTTAACAAGATCAATTCGATCATTAGTTAAAACAAATTCTTTAACAATAAAATTGATATATAAATCTTTTACACAGAAATAATATGTTATAGCATATTGACAAGTCATTGTAGGTTGAAAGATTTCAAAATCTATGCTGTTTTAAAATAAAAAAATTATTAATATATTTTTAATGCCACAAACAAATGCATTAAATGATTAATATATATATATATATATATACATATATATATATACATATATATATAGGTGGAGGTTCAAACGAGAACCCCTGTGATTTACGAAAATACGAGAACAATCTAATAACCTCAAACTTTTTTAATTAATAAAAATTAACTTATATTAAATATAAATAAATTAATAAGGGCAGTAATGTAATTAATTAATTTTATAAATTTTATTTTATTTTAATTAGTCATAATTATCCTTTTTTTTTCCTGCACGTTCTTTTCCACTCTCTCATTTCCCCTTGTGATAATTGTGTGATTGTGTAACCATAACCAATCGAAACCATAATCAATGAAGTGTAACCATAACCTATCGAAACCATGAGTAATCGTTGTGATAAATGTGTGATTGTCTAACCCTAACTGATCGAAACTATGATCAAATTTAGTGCGCAAGTGATGTTATAATAGTGATATCACATGATTATCACACCCATATCACACCAAATCGTTTAGTGGATTTCGCCCGTAATCGTTGTGATAAATGTGTAATCGTCTAATCCTAACCGATTGAAACCATGATCAAATCGAGTGCGCTGTTATGATAGTGATATCACATGATTATCACACCCATATCACACCAAATCGGTAGTCGATTTTCTAAGTTAAGCCTAGCCGAGCGGAATCCTTGTGATAATTGTATGATAATCACACCCATATCACACCAAATCGTGTTGATAAAAGCG